TCAGTAGCAAAATCATGAAAGCTATTAAGCTAACAAACGTTTTTATTTTCTGCGTGTATTATGGAAAGCAATCAGACTTATCATAGAGTATGCCGCCCTTGTGTGGTCTGCAGTTCCGGATTACCTAAGTGCTAAAGTCCAAAAGGGAGCTTTGAAAATAATTGACCCTGGCCGAGTCATTGTGCAGAGCTGCATGTTGTTCACACACTGACTAAAAGTTGGGTAGCGGTTTCTCGTTTAGCGAACGCTAGCTCTATTATATATAAGCCTCCGAATTACGACCATCACCTCTAATTTAGCATAATATGTTCACATTGTATGACATATTAAATTTGCAGACCGTGTCTAAAATCGGGTACGGTCGAATTCTCGCAATTGAAAAGAAAATCAAGCGAAAAATTTCGTTCGGTCGAAAAATTCCGCCTAGTGGAAAACCGGCTTAAGACAGCGAACTGAAATAAGACTGGAACGCCAGCTCTGCGAAAAATTTGAAGCTAAGACGGCGGTATATGAAGCCTTTCTTGTGTAGGTATGATCAGTGGCGTAGCCAGAACGATAATTGGGGGGGCCCATATTCATATATTCGTGATGCGCAGGTTTGATTTCTTTTCAAATCAATTGTCTTTACAGTCTGTTAACATGAATATGGGCCCCCCCAATTATCGATGCTGGCTACGCCACTGGGTATGATCCAGGCCTCCACGCAGAAATTTCGTCGGTAAAATGGCGGCTATTATGATTATAATTTCTTTTGAAATGAGAACACTCAAGACGAACTAATTTATTAACTCTGTTAAAAGAAAATATCGAAATATTTCGCTAGCGCGCGAACTTAGGTTTTTCTATGTTATTTAGAGCGGCACGAATTCTTCGATGCGAAATTAGATTTTAACCATAATCTAGAAGTCCAGTCAATTGCAGCCGGAATATTACCATGATATGAAAAGTCTTAAAAGATTGTAAATCTGCTGAAACGATTGCTTACCTTTGCATTCCCCATATAAAGAAACCGAGGAAGAACGAAAACGATTTTAGCATCATCTTGTGCATGATCACCGTTAATGCTGTGAGAATTTCTTTGACGGTAAGCTAGAAAAGAAGAAAAAGTCAATAACAAAATAATGCATATTATATTTTCGTACTCACATGCAGCTCAGCATCATAGTTTGTGGGAAAGAAAAGGAGAGTTTTATCCAAGCCTCGATCTGCTTTAACTCACCTCGTGTAGCAAGCGAGTACACAATACAGCCTTTGCCAAATCTATTTCTTTTGAGTCTACAGTATGCTCACCTTTCTTTGATGAATTGTGTCTTCGTCAATGCTATCAAGTCAACAGGAAGGCTGAATATGAGTTAGGAAACACTGAAACATCATTGATATTTTTCTTCCGGAATCATTTCTCTATTATGACGCGTGCTGAAACGGAAATTACGAAGAAGAATTATCAGTGGATAAATTGTCGATTTGTAATAGTATAGATGATATTTACTTTAAAGCATGATTTAATTGAGATATACAATTATCATATAAATGGACATATTGCCAACTATGCAATCACCATTGTACGCAGATTTTGAAACGAGAAGGCACTCTACCAATAGTTCTTGCTACATAACAACAAGATTGTTTCTTGCTTTCTTGTCGTTTCAGTTTCATTTGCCTTTAGATTTCAAATTCAGATTAATCTCGCTAACATGAACGATTATATTGGCTATTTAAGGAGAATTGCATTGTTGTATCATTATAAATTTTATCATTGTATAATTACATAACTCATTTTAAGAAAACTTTATTTACTTTTACAATGGTTTGTGCTTTACTATCAATACTCGGTATGTTTTGTGAGTTTTATAATTAACCGAGGAGGTGAAATTCTGTTCTACGGTGCGATTATCACGACGATGAACAGCTTCCATGAATCTGTCTGTTTTGGAAAGGACGTGGGCGGATTCGTTTAATTTCTTCAAATTAATATTATATAGATTTACTTGCTAAAGCTTCAACAAAATGTTAGGGAACAACATGGCCTTCGTGCGACGCATGAACAGGTGAAGAATAACCTAGAAAAGCAATTTCGTGGTAACTTAGTAAACGAATTGAATTATTTTTAAAGAATATTTTTCAGAGCACAAAACAAATTTAGTGAGTATATACAATAGATCAATAGGCGATATTTATTTAATGCATGATTTGGCATTTGTCATTATCATATAAATCGACATATTAGCTGCCAATGTACGTGCATTTTGAGGCGATAATATACACTCTTCCAATTTAGTTTTTCTTATTCTTTTTCCTCTGAGTTCTTGCCACTTAACAACAGGATTGTTTCTCCCATTCTGATCGCCCTTTCATTCGCCTTTATTTTTCAAATTCAAACTAGTGTTGCTAGACAATGTTGACCATTATATGTATGGAGAATTTTATCGTTGCATACTTTGTTTTATAATAAAGTTTCGGGAAGTCTTAAATTGTGACCAATATCACTTAATTGAGGATGTGAAATTATGTAGTACGTCTCGTGTTTTGATATAATCTAAACCAAGTGATTCAATTTAGCATTTTGTTTGTAGCTATATCCATGAGTTCTTAGAATTATCGAAGCTATGATTTATCACGAAAATATGCAGCTTTTCATGCATACATGTGCCTGTTGACACGAGGACGTGGGCGGATTCCTTAAAATAGTTTTTTTAAATATAGATATAAACAGTACCAAGCCAAAGCATGCTTGAAAGCTCAGGATTCAAAGGTATAGGTGAACTACGATAGGGAATACCACAGGACGCATGAACAGGTGAACTGAGAGTAACATACAAAAGCACCTACTGTGTCGAGTTCTTTCAAAAGGAAATAATTTCTGGTCACGAAAATTAAAGAGCTATTGTAATTGGCGAAAGCTGTAGCAAGTTCCTGCCATTGTATGTCCCTGTCATTGTATGTCCCTGTCATTGTATGTCTCTGTCATTGTATGTCCCTGCATTCTGTGTCTGTACACTGTATGTCCCTTGTCTGTTTGTTTCAAGTATGTTTTTGGTAAAGTTGAATAAATAAATAAAACAAAACAGAGATCAGTAGGCGATATTTATTTAATGCATGATTTAGTATTAATCATTATCACATAAATCGAACAATGTACGTGCACTTTGAGGCGACAAAGCACTTTTCAATCGTTTCTCAATTGCTTTATTTCCCTCCAAAGGTATGAACCTTTGCATTTTTTCATTTTTGTCACCCTTTCATTGACCTCTAGACTTCAAAGTCAGATTAGTTTTGCTATAAAAACGTGCAGCGAATATATTATATACGTAATGGCTACTTTGAATAAATTTCAAATGCATGAATTTTGTCATGGTTTGTGCTTTCATACATAACGATATAGATCTTTTAACTTTTTCACCACCCAGGGTTTGTCATACGCAATGATCTTTTGCTGTATATCTATATGATTTTATAGTCGTCGTTGCTGAAAACGTTGTCCTGTCCATATATACATAAATACCTAAATATCAATGTTCGCGTGGGATACTAGATACTTCGCGTGCGAAAAAGATACTAGCGAAAAATAGACTGAAAATTTATTAAAAATATGACCTGAATGTATCGTATATATGTACTGATTTTGTCCTCTTAAAATTTTAAGAATAAAAAACGTAGTAAATCATTCACTTATCTCGATAAAGCTAAAAATATTGATCATAACTGAATTGTAATTTTAAATTTAGTATTTTTGCGACTTTTCCTTATGACAATGTATTGTTTTTACCGCAAAACATTAAAGCCTGTTCACACTAGCTCCTATAATAATAAGAATCGGGGCCGGGACCCATTGTGTCATTTTCCGATGGACAAAGCATATTGCGCACCAGTGACCTCAGTACAACAATACAGTAGATACCCGATTCTTAGAAGCGAAACCCGCAAAAGTTAAATTAATCCACATGCAGTGAATAGGGGTGACTAAACCACTCGTGGTCTATTACACTGAAACACGATTTCTACTGTTTTGTATATATATATATATATATATATATATATATATATATATATATATATATAACATGTGTAAAACAATGTGCCCTCCCGGCTATCACCAGAGCGCAATGGTGACTCCTGCACCAGGGACACAGGACGATATAAAGAACGCGAGAATTCATTATTATTAAAAGAAAAGTTTTAATTATTCCGGGGGTTTTTTCGGAGTTGAACCACAAAGAGTTGTATTCCGTTCAGTCGAAGTAAAATAGCGGTTGTTTATTTTAAATCAATCGAAGAAGTTTTGTATTTTTAGCGAAAAAACGTTTAGTATCGCAAAAGTTTTATTTTCGAGGTTCAGCTCCGAGGAAAAAATATTTACAACTAAATACGACTAATTTCATTCTTCTAGCAATAAAACCTGGTTAGATATCCTTCTCACAAAATCATCAATACTCCAATGATTGAGCGTGTCTGGTGTTCTTATCTATGGTGACTGCGCATTGATAAAACTCTTTTTTGGTCAGAATAACCCCGGCTTAGTAATACAGGAAGACTAAAGTTTAATGTTCAAGACAAGTTCAGAAAGTTCCAACGTTAAGAAAAAATATATTTAGATTATCAGACCCTCTTAAACATCATTCGAAAAGTGAGGGGATTAAATCAGATTATATTAATAAAGGCTATGAAGTGGTAATCATGGTTAATCATCAAATGGTTGTTTCTAATGAAAGATTTCACCCTCGAAATTGCACTTAAAAGTTGTCCCATGGCATGCCCAACCATGCAACGGTGGAGGTGTCTTTAAATTAAATAATGCAAACTCGCCCGATGTATTTGATTGGTAAATCATCATAGACACATAATATGAACTTGAACATGAAATATTGTGTAAGTTTATTTAAAAGAAAGGATTAACAGGTCGTGCAATAAAGATATCGTTGTTATGTCGAAAACAATTTTTGAGTCTTAAATCGAGTTACATGTTCGTTTTGATTATGGCTAATGAAAAGTGCAAATTATGCTTATTTTTTCAGTCCAAATGCTTGCGCGTGGATTTTCATCGATGTTGCTTTCAGGGAATAGTGATTCCCTTCCTTCCAAACACGCCAGTTGATACCATCAGCATACGACTTGTGTGCACCATGATGATACAGACCATTGAGATTTGATGAATGGCAGCCACGATACCACCAAGCACCCTTGTGTGAGACAGCACAGTTGTCGCTACTTAAATCATTGTCGGAATCTTTTGTTGTAAACGAGCTTCCTCTCTGATAAGTGAAGGAATCTCCTGCATTACCTGAATGAAACAGAAAAGTAATGTAACATTGACACGGCACGGTACACGTGCTGAATTTTATTAGTGCTCAGACTACCAAAACAAAGGCCGAGCAGAGATAAAACATTGAATTGTAGGTAAATTGGAAGGCTAATTCCTGACAAACTTCTCTATAATTTTATTAGCTTGAAGCCAAAATAGTTTTAGTTATGAGCTGAAATACTTGACACCAGACGTTGGCCTGGGTATCAAATTAAAGCTATTTAAAAGTCATGTTTTATGTGGAAGTATTCAAGACTTAAACTGCACAGGAAATATATATAAAAAAAAATTACTAACCGGCAAAAAACCGGGAAATTTTAAAATAATTTTTAGATATTTTCTTTTAAGCTGAACTCTCGAAATTTCTACACGAAATATAACCTTGTAATAGCTTGAATAGCGTCTAGTATTTCAGCTCAAAACTCAGAAAAAGTAAAAAGCACTGCTTCAATTTTCCGTCCTGAGTTATCATTCCAGTTTGTTTACAGTTCAATTAATGGGACAAAATGGGCACGGGTATTCATTTTAGCCGTGCTGCGTGCCAATAAGGACTAATTACACGCGCTAATTACACACCAGAGTAAGTCCCAAGACTAAGTCGATATTTCTGACGTTCGCTGGTCACAGCAAAAAAATCATATTCTGCGTATTTTCTGTTCCCAGAAGTGTCTTCCATGTCGATACGCAGCTTGTTTTTAGAAGCGGATGTAAGCCTGCGGATTTTTTCCAGTCCAAGCCAGAATTCCCCTTTCAAATCACCAAAGCCATGCTTATAATCTTGCCATCCTCGGTAGAAATCAACACTGCCATCAAGACGACGTTGAAACACCGTCCATCCTCCACCAGATGTCGTCATTTCACAGCGAACATTGAAACTGCCCTTGCCGTCTGGATCAATCTTGTAAACTCTATTCTTCCTTATACCTTTTTGGTATAAATCAGCGCAATTTTTACCTAAAACCATATTTATCTTATTACATCTCTGTTTGAATTGCACCACTTCTACACAGCCTGCATGCTAGGGGCGCATATCAGTTGAAAAATATCCCTCGTTGTAAAACGTGTTTTGCTGTAGTGCGCGAAATGATTTAGGTAACTTTTAGTCGAATTTGATTATAAGTTCTTTGATAAACGCGTCTGAAAAGCATCGCTAAATTAAACATTGCTTTGGCATGTTGGTGTTATATTCTTACGTATTTAAAAGAAAGTCTCGCTCGAAGAATTACATACAAGTGTTTTCTATTACACAATGTGGTGTCTTTTATACTAAATATTAATATAATCTATGAGTATCGAATATTATTACAACTCCCTCTTTTTATTGTTTTATTACCTTTCAGTGTATTTGAATCATTGATACACACGACTGATTTCGCCAGTGTTTTTCTCAGTTCCAGTAAAATCTCAGCTTTCATCTCGGACAACAATGTCTTTATTTTCGATATGCCCGGTTTACAAGCACAATATCCAGCCGTAGTGGTGGTGCTAAACGTGTAATAATTTCCATACTTTTTATAATCAAAACACGAGCCTTGTAATGGAGGGAAGTAGCCAGCCACCGGCCGTGCGTGTATATGGCAAATGGGGAAAAACCTTTTCTTTCTGCAAGTCTATAATTATTATAGCGAGTTATTGGGGTGATTTTCGAATATGATGCTCATGCAGTTGCACAAATTAAAAGGAAAGAATATTAAAGGGGATGTATGGAACAAGTGAAATATTTTTGTCATAGAATTACCATAGTTATATACCTTCATTATTTTAGAATCAATCAAATAAAAAATTATACTACAGCAGCTTAATGCTAAACCCTTAAACCCATAAAATTTGTGCAATACAGGTGTTGACCTTTTTATTACTATTCTTAAGACAATATTTTCTGAGGACTCAAAGTAATTCCAACTCAAAGTGATTTTCAGCGGGGCTCTGAGTTTAAATATATGGAGTAAAATTTAGAATTTTAAACTACGTTTAAGTTAGAAGATCATCATAGAAGATCGTGTCAGAAGGAAATCACATAAACAAGAATTTCCTAAGCCTCAATTTGACTGAAATTCTAAACATCTCATCATTCAAACAAAATTCTCTACGCATCTCGTGAGGGAGCATATCTTCCATATTTTCTACGCAAAACCAAAGGAAACCAGTTCAGGGTTCTCATGCAGGGCTTCGGTAGCAGATGATATCGGCTGCATGTCCAGAATCACTTCAGCAAGGCTATTATGCAGTATTTGGATTTGGTTAAATTTAATAAATAATTAAATTTATTATTAATAATAAATAATTTGGTTTTCATTAAAACTAGGTTGTTTTTAAATCCCCATACAAAGTAAGCATAGAATTACTCAGCAATTTGCTAAAGTAATTGGAGCAAAGAAGGTAGTAAGTGTTTAATTCTCCTAATGAGGCCAATACGCTGAGCAATTTTACTTGATAGCGTTTCAATATGACCGCCCATGTTAATGATTAATTTACTCAAAACAACGCCAAGATACTTAAAAGATGTTACACGGCTAAGATCATAGTCGCTAACACAAAGTTTAACTTCGTTTAGCTTAGCCAACTTTGCCGGATTTCCAAAGATTTAGATAAATTTAGGTAAATTTCCGAAGATAAATTTACATTTTAAATGACGAAGTGTTGTCTTGAAGTTGTTGAGTCGATTTGGTGTTGTGACTTTACACTTTTCACAAGCTTTTGTAATATCGTTTAAATCAACTTTATCGAACATTTATAATTCAATAATACTACCATATTTTGATTATTGCTCGCCACTGTGGGATAAATGTGGCAGTGTGTTAAGAGATAAACTCCAAAAGCTTCAAAACAGAGCTGCAAGAGTTATTTCAGGGGCATCTTATGAAACTCGTTCCTCTGATATCCATGCACCAGGCTGAATCGATATTCATAATTATGAATTACATAGGGAAACGTATTTGATTATCCCTAAACCTAAGAGCGAATATCTTAAAAAAACTTTTAAATTTAGTGGAGCTGTAACATGGAATTCGCTCTTTACAGATGCAAAGCTATCAACTACTTAAAGTGCTTTTAAAAGGCATCTTGAAGCCTAGTTTGATCAATAGCTATTGTCAAGGAACTTCTAAGAAACCTTCCATTCAAGTTTTATTTTTTTGTAAATATGTTTTATCTCTGTTACGCTTCTCAGGAAAAACCTCAATTTAATGGTGATGAGAAAGGCGTCATTAAATAAATTGTTTATGTATGTATGTATGTATGTATGTATGTATGTAAACAAGGAAGAAGGAAGAGCAGTGGCCTCAATATACTCCGGCGGCGGCACTCCGACTTTTCAAATTTTGACGCCGATGCCAACAGTCTAATTAGAAAAATTAGGGTGGAATGATTTAAGTCAGCAAAGCCAATTTTTATAAGCGCAGATAGTGTTTAAATCTCTAAATAACCTTGCACCATGCAGAGTACCTGCATGTGCTCAAAATTTATCAATAGTAATGTAGCTCCTTACACATTTCGAGGCTGAGTATAAACTCGATGTTCCTTCACCCAGCACAAATTATCTTAAAAATAGCTTTACCTACCAAGCAATATAAGGCAAGTGGAATCTTTTTATAAAATTTAATAGAAGCTTAATTGGGAAGTGTATATTTATTTATTCATCATATGCCCGATTGATTTCTTCTGTACGCTATTGTTCCTATGAGCCGGCCCTTTGATTACGTAATCATGAATGTATATTGAATATACACCCACAAACGGCCATTTACATGATAGGCCAACTTGTTATCTAAGTAACAAGAGGGAAATAAATCACCACAGCTAAAAAGAGCATACTGAAATTAGTATACGATTGCCAAGTTTCGCTGCAAAATATGAAGTAGTACGGAAAATATAGTCATATGAACATGGCAATTTTTATATACTTTTGTATTACGTAACGGAAGCGTGTAACTAATTTAATTACACCCTTCTGACCATAACACAAAAGTAAAGAAATTTGCAAACTTCGCAGCCAAAGTTTCAATTTAGCTTACTCATATAATACAAACACACCAAACCTGGCTAGTTTAGTATGCACTTTTCGGAAATTCCCTTTTTGTCGCCTAAATCAAAAGTTGGTCTATTATCCATGCCAGTGGCCGTTAAACAGGCGCCTAATTACCGCCAAGGAAATAAAGATTTTTTGAGGTTTGTTGAACGTAAAAAAGTCGAAACTTTTCATTCTTTTACCAAATAAAGCTCCAAGATAATGTCTGAACCAAATCATATATCAATTGAGTCATGATAGAATATATTATTCTGTCTCATCAGTTTTTACCAAGGACGTGGGCGGATTCAACGCCTGTTCTGGATTTAACTACGCCGTGCCGTGCACGTGCCAGTCTTCAATATAAAGTTTCTGGACATAAACAATACAGTTCATACTAATTTAGATGCCTTGCGAGTTGCGAACCTCAATGTTGTTCGATCACGAAATTCAGAAGCACATCGTACTTTAAAAAGTATACAAGTTCAATTGTTCAAGAATGTAAATAAACCGCATGATACATTCACTTTGTCTTGCACTTTGCCTTTGGAATTCGTGTTTATATAGTTATATTAATTCAAACTGCGACGTGTCAACGCGCCCGTACACGACCACATCTCGTTAAACGGCGAAATAGCAGCGATATTAATGAAATAGGACATGAATTTACATGTATTACATATATATATTCTGACCCCAATTAAGTCTGAACCTAATTGAACAGCATCAAAAGAACGGTTTATTTGTTCTTCTTCATGCAGCCTCGTACTGCAGGCGCTTTATTAGTAAAATATATAACGTTGCAATCAGGTATTGTATAGAGTTCAGCTGAAAAAAGCAAGCGCGCAGGGGTGCTTGGGGTGGTTTTGTTTAGCAAGGAAGCGCTTGGCAGAAAATGACCGATTTCTGACAAATCGTTACCGATTTCTGAAAAATCCCGAATCTAAATCAAGTAATTATAGTATATAATTATATTGTATTATATTGCATAAGGTCTCAAAAACAGCCCGAGGTCGAAGGCCGAGGCTATACGGACCGACTAGATAAATAATACTGGTAAATAATAGATTCAGATTTTTAAATCCCGCCCCCCGTGCGTGCGTGCGTGCTTTTACATCTCGCGCCTTATACGGACCGCTCGCGTAGCCAATCAGGAAACGTTTAAATATTAATTCGAATCGCAAGAAAAAAATAAAAACTCATATTCGTTTGTTTACAGGTTTAATAATCCGATGAGGAATTCAACGCGATATGGCAACAACTTGAATTTAAAAGTAAATCGATTCCATACGTGATACTTATCGGATATAATTCGTAACATGAAATGTTCAATATTAATCAACAGATAACATGCATCTTTAAAAACCGGTTTATCTGTAAAAACCTGAATCTAATTCAAGTAATTATAGTATATAATTATATTTTGTGTTGTGTACTGTAATCGTTTTCTGCAAGGCGCTTCCTTTGCCAAAACCACCCCAAGCACCCCCGCGCGCTCGGGTTTTTTTCAGCTGACCTCTATACAGTAACTTGAAGAATCGTTGATTAGTTAACCTTCATAGGCCGTGGGATGAGCATCCAAAAGATGCTTAGAAAACGGATTCCGTTGCACCCCTCGTGGAACTACATAATTTTCACATGAATTAAGAGATAAAAATTTACTTTATCAGAATCGGTTGTTCCCCAAGCGAAACAGACGCACAATTGGGAAAACAATTCCTCCAAAGTTTGCTAATTTCGCGTTTCGAAATATTCGAACCGCCATTGTTTTAGCAGCAAAATACGCATGCGCTTGTCAGGCAAACTCGGACTGCGCACGCGCATAAGCACGCAAATGCTTCGAAGTGGAAACACGCTTAGTTATTCAAAACAATAATGGCTGAAGATATTTATAAAACTCGAATATCCTCATGTTTTATTCATTTTGATGGCGTTACGGAGCAACTTTGCAAAGTTACACGCCAAAGGCTTAAGAAATTTCTTGAGTGTAGGTCTAAATGGCTTAAATGTCAACAAGCTGAAATAGCTAAGAAATCGTACGCGAACATCGATGACGGATCTGTCAATTTATACATGGAAAAGAACCCTGACAGCATTCACTTAGAATGGTACCATCATATGAAATGCTGGAAGAGATTTTGTGATGAAGAGAAGATCCGTAGACAACAGCGAAAAGAAGATAGCTCTAAAACTGTAACTTCTACCGAAGAACTACATGTAGGAGTGGAACCAATGGAACCAAGGCGAAAATTACACGCCAATCAGTCGCAGATGTTAATAAGACCCTGCCTAAAAGAAACGAGCACGTACTTCCAGAGATATGTATTGTTTGTGGAAGAGACGCCTCTTGGTTCTCACTAGACAAGGTATGGTCATTTTGATAGATATAATTATACTAGTGCAATGTGC